GCATGATAAGAATAGGAGGTAGGAATTGGCTAGGCAGTTAGGGTGAAAAGACCCCAAGGAAAAGTAGCCAGTTTCTTGGCTAAAAGTCAAGATGTCCTTGGGACTGCTAGCAACATACTCTGTTCCAAGGCCAAAAATGTCAAAAGCATTTGGGAGCTTGTATCTAATCCTTAAAAGATTATAGGGTTACCTCTTCAGAGGGGGGAATGTTAGAGTAGCCAAATGGACTATAAAGAAAGAAAAACAAAAGAAAGAATATATGAAGTTATCAAAAAAAGTGATGGGGAGATATGGGAGGAGTTGGAGGGGAAGAAGTGGGCATGGATTTGATCAAAACACCTTATATGCATTTTTGTAAAATCTTAAAAAAAATAAAGAGGCTGGAAAAAATAAAAATAAATAAAAATCAATCAATCAAGAAAACCTTAATGATGTCCTGATTCAAGGTCTTAGAGGTTGTCCAATTCAAAGGTTCTCAGGACAGGAGAACTTTAAAAATTAGGTAAACTTTAAAAATTAGGACCCTTGGCCGGACATGGTGGCACATGCCTTTAATCCCAGCACTCAGGAGGCAGAGGCAGGCAGAACTCTATGAAATCAAGGCCAGTCTGGTCTACATAGTAAGTTCCAGGCCACCTGGGGTTACAGGGCGTCCCTATCTCAAAAAACAAAAAGGAAAAAACAAATTGAGACTTTCTAAAGGGGCCTTCTTGTAGCTACACAGATGTACTCACCTGTGTTTATGAAATCATCCAGGGGCTAGGGAGATGACTCAGCACAGAAGCCTTGAGTTCAAATCCCTAGCACTCAGTAACAGCAGTCCCAGCACTCAGGATGAGAGGTGGGAACTGAGCAGACATATTCCTGGAGCTCACTGGCCAGTCAGCCTAGCCAATCAGTAAACTCCAGGTTCAGTGACAAACCCTGTCTCAAAAATTAAGGTAACCCAGGTATGGTGGTGTATACCTCTAATTCCAGCATTCAGGAGGCAGAGGCAGGCAGATCTCTGCAAGCTCAAGGCCAGCCTGGACTACACTGAGAGTTCCACAAGTTCCAGGCCAGCTGGGGCTACAGATAGTCCCTGTCTTTTAAAAAGTAATAATAATAAAAAGAAGAGGAGGACGAGGAGGAGGAGGAGGAGGAGGAGGAAGAGGAGGAGGAGAAGGAAAAAGTAGTCATCTAGTAAGGTGCATACAACAGGGAAAGACACCTGAATCAACCTCCGGCCTCCACATGCACACACACACACACACACACACATACATACATGTATCACACACAAAAATAGATTAATTAAAATAACTTTTAAAACTCAACCAGTCACACACTTACATACTATATGCTTTTCTCTACGTGTGATCTGCTTCAATCAAAAGTCACGCCCACAGGGATTTGAACATTTTAGGCACCAGGAGCACCAGTAGTGCGTACATGCCAGACCACCCTCATGCTTCCTCCCTCTGTACTCCCCCGCCCCAGCCGTCTCCCTCTTGCCAAGGGCAATCTCAGAACACTGCCCTGGGAAGTGTCCTGGGAAGGCTTACCCGTGGCAAGGGTATGCCCACTGGTTCAGCTGCTAATTCACAGCAAAGACAGCACCTATAGGTTCCCACCTCTGACTAAGAACTTCACCAGGCCAGGAATTCTGCAAGCTTGAAACATCACCTGCCCCCAGGCCAAAAAGTACCTGGCACACAAAGGTGACTGAGTGAACTGCCAGAGGTGGTTCAGAGCCCAAGAGGTACAACTTCTTTCACCCAGGCAGCAGCCCAGGGAGCAGAATGGTGCTGAGGGCACCAGTCACACTGAACGAGTTAGGCTCCCCGCAGAGAAATCATGTTATTTCATTGCTCTCTGCCTCTGTTATTTCATCTCTAAAATGGGGATAAAAGCCCCATGTCTTGAAGCTGTGATGTTAAATGAGATGATGCACCAAGAGCCCAGTGGAGCACATACTACACGCCAAGTGCTCTAAACTGTCTATCCATAGGTGGATCATCCAACCTTAAATTTATCCGCTGGAGGGGCTGGAGACAGAGCTCAGCTGGTACAGTGTCTGCCTAACTTGCACAAAGCCCTGGGTTCAATCCCCAGCACTAAATAAACCAAGCGTGGCGGTGCACAGCTATAATCCCAGCATTGGGGAGAGAGAGGCAGGAGGATCAAATATTCAGTTACCCTCAGCTACATAGCAAGTTTGAGGCTATCCTGGGGTAAATGAGACCATCTCACAAAACAATTATCTGCTGGAAATTAAGGAGCGTTTTATAAAGACATGCTTGTGCACTTAGGCACACAAATGCCTTGAATTCTTCTTGACATAACTTGGGTTAACAGTATCAGCCAATTGCTCTGTTCTTGACTGCAAACTTTCAATTTATAAAGACAAGTGAATATCCTGCTTTTGGTCTTTGGGCAAAAGATTCTGAGACTGAGGCTGGATGGTTATAGTTTCTCTGGAACCTCTGGAAGTCAGTGAACTGCTGTATTACGGCTGCTGGTGGGGGCCAGGCAGGAGGAAGCTGGGAGCACCAGGATCAACTCCTGCTCTACCAAGAGCACTGCATCAAGACACGGACTCTTCCATGGAAACACAAAAACATGTTTAAGCTTCCAGCTTGAAAGGTCAACCCATGTAGATAGGGGTTTAGATCCAAGGAAACCACTTCAAGGCCACAAGGCCACAGTTATGAGTCTTCTGTGGTTTCAACAGAACATCACTGTAATCAGAGACCATAATGAATAGGGAAACCATCATGTGGAAGAAGCTCTGAAAACTTACAACTGAATGTACTGAAGAGGCAAGAATTTACTAAAGTGGTTCTGAGAAGCAGAATCTTTGGTGCTCTGTCTCCCAAATTCCAGAACGATTTCCATGGACAGTGCACAATCAGAGGGACCTGCCACTTCTCATTCCTAAAAATGGGTTACTAGATAGGTGGGGGGGCACTGGTCAGCTAAAAGGAGGGAGTCATCACTGCCAAAGCCCTCCGGTGTCCACACTGCCTCCTCCTTCACTTCCAAAGCCCTCCGGTGTCCACACTGCCTCCTCCTTCACTGCCAAAGCCCTCCGGTGTCCACACTGCCTCCTCCTTCACTGCCAAAGCCCTCCGGTGTCCACACTGCCTCCTCCTTCACTTCCAAAGCCCTCCGGTGTCCACACTGCCTCCTCCTTCACTGCCAAAGCCCTCCGGTGTCCACACCGCCTCGTCCTTCACTTCCAAAGCAGGTGGACATCTAACACAAATCTGAGGAATTTTTCGAAATCAATTTATAAAGTTCTTGGAATCAAGAGTTATCTCTTCCAAGTATTTGCCCACACTGACCCTCGTGAAATGAATCATCTCTAAGCTTTGCTATGGACTCTAAGCAGAAAATAGACCAAGAAGGGAACCCTTCAAGGTGCAGTTCATCTGTGTACGTGGGAGGAAGGGTTTTCCTGGGGAACTGAATAATTAGCCTTCAATGCCCGGCTCTTCACAATCACTTTGCAAGACGCCTGGCCTCCTTTGCAGGGTTAAAAAAGAAAGAAAAGAAATGAAAAGAAAACTCCAACGAGTGGACTGAGACACCATTCTTCAGGGGACATTCATTTGGGGCTCCCGGCCTGAGGCTTTGTGCGCCCCCCGCCTGCGCCCCGGCCTTTCCTCCCACGGGGGCTGCTCAGCCAAGGTCCTCGAGGCCACCTGCTCCTCGGAAGAAAAGGGGGGAGTGTGCACACTACCGCGGTGCGCGCTCCGCGTCCTCCCGGTGCCCCTCGCGGAGGGCGGAGGGGGAGGTGTCCCGGGAAGCGCGCTTTGTCGCCAGGGTCGCCAGGCCGCCCGCAGTGCCCCAGAGGCCGGAGAGTGGTTTTGTCCCCGGCGTCGCTCAAGGGCTCTCCTCGAGGAAACCGAGTCCCGCGGCGCCCGGGATTCCTTCCACCGCTCCAGCCGGGGTACCCCGCAGATCACCCGCGTCCGAGATGCACCCCGCCCACCCGGCCGAGCTAACGGCGCGGCCACAGCGATCCCCTGCATCCTGCCTGCGGCCGGCACGGCACCTGCTTGGCCGCGCTCGCCCGGAGATCTGGGCCGCGCGGTGGAGCTGCCCTTCCCGCCAGCCCCGAAAGGTCCCGCGTCTGCTGCCCCGGACCCCTCTGCTATCCCCGAGGCGGATCTGCCCTTGGGCGCGTGTCCCCGGGGGGCCTCGGGCAGCCCAGCCCGCCTGCGGCGCCCCCACCCCGGCACGCACCGCTGCAGGGGCTCCGTCCGCGGCTCCCCGCGCGCCCCGCGGGGTCCTACCTTGTGCGGTGCCCGCAGCAGCCGATGGACCCCGGCCAGCTGGGTGCCCAGAGCGAGGTCCTCGCGGAACGTGAACAGCGGCGGCCGGCTGGGCTCCGGGAAGTTGGTGCTGTTGAAAGGATCCGTGTCGTCCAAGAACTGCACCCGACAGGCCAGCGTGGCCATGATGCATCCCTGCCCGGGGGGGGGCGCGGGCCCCGGGGTCTGTGTGCCCCACCGGCCGGGACGCCGGGTCGCTGCGCGCAGGGGAGGCCGCGGCCGCTTGCTGGCTCCCGGGCTCGCAGGCTCCGGCGCGCGCGCCGGCTCCTCCCCTGCTCGGTTTCCCGGGCACCCGGCCGGGCTTCCCCGACCTACAGGACCGCGCGGGGAAGGGGAATGCGCAGAGCTGAGCCAAGCTGGGGATGAGCGACCGGGAGCGCCCGCCGCAAACCCGGCTGCACGTGCGCCCGCAGCCCGGGTCCCTGATGCGCGCCTTGGAGCCCCGGGCTGTGGACTGGGGAGGGGATGTGGAGACCCGGTGGTCCTCCGGCTCCGTCACCCAGGGGGCGAGCTCGGGCGTTTCCAGATGAAGGCCACAGGGACTCAGCTCCCTGCTGGGCACCCAGGGACGAGGGAGCCCGCTCCCCGCAGCAGAATGATTGGGTGACAGAGACTGGGAGCTCGGGCGAGGGCTCCGGGGAGGTTGGCCAGGAGAGAAAGGAGGAGCCTGGGAATCCAGCAGCTCTTCTGGAGCCGAGGGGCGCCCTGGAGCGAGGACTGCCGAACCTCCCAGGCCCTAGACTCCAAGCCAGACCCCGGGTATACCCGGTGGATGCTGGTTGAACCTCTCCACCGTACCCTCCCCTATCCCCAGTTAGGTCTCCCGACGCCCTAACTGGACCTTCTGCGGCCCAGAGAGAGGGGTGCCTCGGGCCAGGTCTCGGAATTTGAAGATGCGGAGGAGAAATAGGGTCCCCGCGCTACCCCAGGACTTGGAACGGAGCTTGACAGCCGGTTTTCTCTGGGCTGGAGCCGCCAGACTCCGCGCTGTGATCTCGGTCCTCCTCGCTGCTCACCGGCGACCCCCTTCGCTGCCAAGGAGAATTCCTGCCTGATTCCTAGTCCCTCTATGGGTCACCCTGATAATATCCAATCGTCCTTTTCATGACGGCTTATCATGTCTTCCTTTTCTCTGGTTTCAAGAGAAAAGAAACCCATAGTCGATACTCTGCAGCAGCGCTCGCACCTTTCACGGTGCCTTTTCCCTGGACTCTTCCCAACAGAAGAGCATGCATCCACCTTTCCAATGTGGAGCAGCCCATCCTGGCGATACTTAGCTTCTCTCTTGTAGGGAAGCCCCTGGTCCCTTCATCGCCTGTCGTAGTCTGCTGTTTGGAGGAGGGGGCTGTTTTTGGTTTAGTTTTTGAGACAGGATCATGAGCCTCCTGAAAAGAGGTCCAGCCTAGGGAAAGTGGTAAGAAAATGGTTTGGGAAATGGTTGTTATGGTATGAGGCAATCGGCAAGACAATTGAATCGGCAGTGATTCAGGAGGCACAAAGTAATCGAATGAACCTGACGAGTTAGCTGAGAAGTCCAAAAAGCGTTCAAGGCATCAAATGCGTCTATCTGCGCATTATAATTAACTCAATTTTAAGAAGAATTTAAAGGAAATATGGAGATTTGGACTGTGAAATAAAGCCATTTCTTGTCCCCAGTCCTTCCAGACAGCAAAAGAGTCTTAAAGGAAGACCTTGGTAAAAATCAATTATAAAATGTGATTGCTAGACCATTAAGATCTCTGTGAGCCTGGAGGCATCAACCATGGGCATTCTCATTTATACAGAGGCTTCTGAGAAAGCTAAGGGTCAGCAGCCTGAAGGACTAAACTGAGAGTTGTGGACACCATGTGTGGCATGTGAAACAAATCTTCATAGGACTCATTAGACAGTCCATAGAGATTTTAAGACAGTTGCATTGACAGAGGCCCTGTTAGCGTGGACTAAAAGGGACAGAGATTGTTCCAAATGAGAAGACCTCTGGGATCCAGCTTGAATGGGGTAGAACAGGCTATGGAGCTAAGCTCTCCAGTCCCAAGAAAATGGTATTTTAATATTCAAGAATTAGTGTCCAAATCTATGAAGCCCAAAAACGACCTACAGAGCAACATTTGATGACAAATTTCCTCACTATGAAATGGCTAAAGTAAAATAAGGAGACATCCGTGTTCTTTCATTAAGAACTATATTTTTGAGGGTTATTTTTGTTGTTGATGTTGTTCTAGTTATTTTTTGACTCATTTTTCATTGACTTTTTGCAAATTACATACAATATATTTTGATCATATTTAGATCCTCTCCCCTATCTGCACCCCCTTACTACCCCCATCCCCAATTTCTAAATGCCTATAGAGTCAAATTTGTGTCCCCCAATGCCCTTCAGTGTGGGTTTATCCACGGGAGCCTGGTTAACATACCAAGAGTCTCACCCTTAAACCGGCTCTCCCTTCCAGCAGTCATCACTTGCTAGTACTTCCTCAGGTAGAGCTAGGGTTTCTTACCCACTTCCACACTCTGTGCTGGATTTCGTCTGTCTTGTGGGCTCAAAACTTATGTTGCAGCAGTCTGCAAGATGGCTCAGCAGGTAAAGGCCCTTGCTGCCAAGCGTGATGACCTGAGTTTGATCCTCAGGACCCACATGGTGGAAAAAGAGACTAACTCCCACAAGTTGTCCTCTGACTTCCACTCACTTGCTCACACATATACACATACGTGCAAAATAAATAAATGTAATAGTAAAAGAAAAATGTATGCAGAGTGTATTTGACAACTTTTGGAGGGATGGACACCAAGTCAAGACCATGCCTGATTCAGGAAGTAGGAACTAGATTCTGCTCCCCACAAAAAAGAAAAGCCATGATGTAGCAAAGAGGCCCGAGGACCAGATGTCCAGCAACCATGATTTTGACAATCTAATACCCACAATAGTAACTCTATATGCACACACCTCCATATATATGCATGTGTGTGCAGTCATACCTATACATAGAAAGGGAAGAGGTTGAGAGACACAGACATACAGACTGGACAAAACAGCCAATTAATGCAAAGCTGCATCCTTGGGGGGGAAAAAAAAAAAAAGAATCCTAAGAAAAACAAACCCCAAAAGAAAAGTCAGTCAAGTAGATTGAAAAGTAATCCGCTGGAAAATAGTTCAAGAAGTAACCTCTAAAGGATTCCACCAGCTAATGTGATTGAACTCAGAGAGCTGGAAGCGACTCCCTTGAACTAGTTTTCTGCTTTCTGAAGAAACAAAACTCACTCCTCACTCTGTGCTTACCTAATGCCGCCACCGCCACCGGGTGGTAGACGTGGCTTATTCCCGCAGAATAACATTTAAGACACTCTCTGGTTTTGCTTACTTTTCAGATGAGATTTAGAGATGTCCAGCAACTTGCTCACAAGAGGGATTGTTCACTGCAATTTTAATTTGGTTGTTGCAAGGTGAAATATGTAGAAGTTAATTCTGTTAGCACAAAAGAGAGGATTAGCAAAAAAGCCACAAGAGGCTGCTGGGTGGAGCCTAGCTTCCCTTCCGTTTCCAAGGGCTCCCTGAAGAGCCCAGGTCTTTCTCAGAGATCTGGAGTACTTGAGAAACACTGCTCATGAAGGTTTTGGTGGCTGCCAGTATCCCTGGCAGAACCGCTGGTTCAGGAGCCTCAAGTCCCAGCCAGTGTTCAGTGCCAGCAGTCAGTTCCTGGGTCCTGTGGATCCCCGAAGCCTGTGCTTTCTTTGCCTTGGAGATTTATCAGCACTTAGTGACTTCTCTTACTGCTGAAACAAAATAGCTGACAAAAGCAACTTTGGAGGGAGGGAGGGAGGGAGGGAGGGAGGGAGGCTCGCCCTACTTGGGTTTACAGTTCTTGGGGATAACAGCCCATTAAGGCAGGGAAGGCATGGTGCAGGAGGGTGAGGCAGCTGGTCACACTGCGTCCACAGTCAGGAAGGAAGCAGAGAGACGAATGCTGGTGCTCACTTGTTTTTTTCCTTCTATTCAGTCCAGAACTCCAGCCTGTGGATGGTGCTGCCCACATTTAGGACAGATCTTCCCACCTCCATTAACTTAATCTAGAATCCCTCACAGAGGTTTGTCTCCAGAGCAAGCCTAGGTACTGTCAAGTTGACAATTTAAACCATCATTACGCCCTCCCTAAGGATAAAGGAAAGATAGGAAAGATAGTGCACAATTGACCCTGATGATTTCATCTGATCAAGGTAGAGGCACTCTAAATAGCAAATGCAACTTTGGGGCTGAAGGCCCTAGAGACCAGAGACAGTCGTGGGTAGAAGACAGGGACACTGAAGGTTGGACAGGTGATAGCACTGCCCTGCTCATCTTTGTGTGTATTACTTTTCTGTGGCTGTGATAAAGCAGTATGACCAAGGCAATTTATGGAAAGAAAATTTAATCTGGGCTTAGTATTCCAGACAGACAGTCCATAATGGTGGTGAGGCAAGGCAGGAGGCAGAAGGAAGAGAAAGCTGAGCGAGAGCTCACATCTTCAAGTATGTGCAGAAACCAGAGGGCGAACCAGAAGCGGGACCAGGCTGTGAACTCTCAAAGCCCACCCCCAGTAACATACTTCCTCCAACAAGGCGACACCTCCTAAAGATTCCATGACCTCCTACCCCCAAATAGCACCACTAGCTAGTGACCAAGTGTCCAAATACTTGAGCCTTTGGGGGAGATTCTCACTAAACCTACTACTCTGAGGGACTTTCCTTTTCTTCCCCCAGGCTGATGTCCTCTCCTAGATGAACCCTTGCCTCTGGACCTCCATCAACACATTGTGTTGCGTGATTGGCTGACGTGAACTGCTGAGCTCCGTGAGCACACTGGCTGATCCTTTTCTCACCTATAGCCATCAGTGCAATGGAGGTGTGCAGCTCATGAGCAAACCACTGACCAGTGCTTCTTGTTACAATGCTTCACCTGCATCAAAAGCAAAGCAATTTGCTCATTAAGCAACAGTGGCTTTCCTTGAGTGAGGTGGCCAGAATGCACTCTCCAGATCTCTACTTATCTGCCTGTGAACGTGCATCACCCGACTAACCCTCTCTGGGCCTCGAATTTCTCATCTCTGAACAGAGAGGACAGTAGTAGATTCCTCAGAATCTTGTTAAAGGATCTCGGCATTTAATCCACCGGAAATGCTTAGACCAGCACCCACAGTGACCTGGCACACTCCACAACTATGAAGGCGACCTGGACTCTCATCTGATCTCTGCTAGGTGCTTCTTCTCTGACCTTCAGTGGGTCAGCTCTCTGAGCGTGTTTCCCTACTTAGAATGGACAGGGTGGATGGGAGAATGAAAGTTGGCCATGTTAGGCCCATAGCAGAGTGCCTGGCTCATGATATTCACTCACAGATATTAATAAGCATCAACCAGCATCGTGAAGAAAATAATGTATTTGTGAAGTACAAAAAGTAGACATTTCAATCAGACATGGCTCTTTTAACTCAGTTAATGTTTTAAAATTAATAAAACAGCATTGTGCACTTGAAATAAATCTAACATACCCATGATATATAATCTTTTTAGATATTGCTGGACTATGCTACTTCTTAAAGAATTTCAGAATTTATGTTCATTCTTGAGAGGGGGCTCATAATTCTCAGTTATATCAACATTACATATTAGACTTCCGAGGAAAAAGTACTAGTGACAAAAAGGTTATATATCAACAAAAGAACCTGTTATCAAAAAGACACAGAAATCTGAAGTGTGAGCCTGTTACCATGTAGCAGTTGTGATGGGGTTCATTTTCTCCATCAAGTAAAGAATTAAGACAGTAAGACTCTCACACACAACAGGCAACAAACTTTATTAAAAGTAAACACACTCACATACATGCCCAGCTCACACAGAGGAAAAACTCTACAAGTGGAGAGGGGATTTGGAAACCAAAAAATCCAAAGTCTGTAGGGGAGGCCTGTGTCTTTTAAGCATTTTTGGTGGATAGGGCAGGTCACCCTCCCCTAATTTTAGGTTGGCCAACCTAAACAAAGAAGTGAGGGCTAATAGACCACAGCTCCAAGCTGAGATATGTCCAGGACCGACTTAAACTGGTCTGGACCTGTCAGCCAGAAGGGCTCTGCCAGCAGGAGAAAGGTCTTTGTCTCAGGGGAAAAAGCAGAAGGAAGCTGGCCATCTTTGTAACTTATCAGTGACCCTGCCTATCAGAATATATATATATCATATATCAGAATATATAAATCAAACCGCGCATGGTAACACATTCTAGTACTTGGGAGGTGGAGGCAGGAGGATCCAGCCGGCCTGAGCTACATGAGACCCTGTCTCGACACCCCCCCACCACCAAAAATATATAAATTGAAAATTGGGCAGGCAGTGTACTGTAGTTGCTGCCAACACACTGCCCTCTTGTGTTGTGCTCGATAAACTTTTAATTTGAAACAAAACAAAACTGGACCAGTGGGATGGCTCAGTTGGGTAAAGGCACTTGAAGTTGAACCCAGGATTCACATGGTTGAAGGAGAGAACCAGCTCCTGAAAGTTGTGCACTGACCTCTACACACACTCCTTAGCAGGTGTGCACATGGACACTCCTGCACATACACACACACACAAATAATAAATAAATAAATAAATAAATAAATAAATAAATAAATAAATAAATAAATAAATAAATAAATGAAAGTTAAATTTTTTAATCCCTTGAGTGTCATTAAAATTTTCATCTAACTACAATTAATCATGCTCAGGTACATGTGGGAGCCGTGTTGGGTGTGGGCACAGATTCAGTCCCTAGGCCTTGAAACCACTCTCCAGAGTGGGACAGTGCAGAGAGCCCAGAAAAATCAGAGGATGAAGGGAAGTCGTGCTTCCCCTCCAAAGGGAAGAACTGTGCTCATTCAAAACCCAAGTTCTACTGAATCAAGTTGTGGCTCTCAGTAACGGTAGACAGGATTGTTAAAGAGAAAGTTTAATGCTCTCTGGGGAAAAAAAAAGGTTAGGCCAGAGCACCCTGATGTCTCTGGAAAGAAAGGGATTCAGGGCATTGTGTGTTCTCTTTCAACACAGGGAGCACCTTAGATCCCACCGAGAGGAAAGAGGGTGAAGATGAATCCAAGGATGCATGCAGCAGGTACACGCCAAAGTTCACCTGTGAACAAGACAGCAGTTAAAGTCATTTGTAAACAGTGCTTAACTTGGACGGGCAAGATAGCTCAGTGGGTAAAGGAGCTTGCCTTCAAGCTTGTTGTCCTGAGTTTGATTCCTGGAACTCAGAGTAGAAGGGGAGAACTGACCCTCACAAGCTGCCATCTGCTCTGCACACATGTGCTGTGGCACACACAGAAATTAATTAATTAAATTACATAAATAATGTTTTAAGAGAATGCAAGCTTTCAAAAATAGTAATAGCGCTTAAAACAAAGTCAAGTCATTAAAAACGTGCTGATTGGCAATGCCTGGGTGAAGCACACCGAAGGGCACCTCTGTGCAGTAGAATGCAGGGGACGTAGGAGTCCTAGCTTGAGACCCAGCAGTTACCCCACACCTCTTCTTTGCTGGACTTCTAACTCCTCTCACAGGGCCCATGCCTCCTGCAGGAGGACCTTCTTCCTGTTCTCAGTCTCTGCCCACCGCTCAGTTCTCTGGCAGAAAAACCATTTGGGGAAATAATGGCAAAATTCTGCACTTTCCTTAAATGTTGTACGTTAAAATTCTCCCAAGCCTTCAAAATAAGGATGGAAGATGGGAGTGAAGAATCTTCTAGGTCTGCGCAAGGTCTGCCACTGAGACCAATGAGCCGTTAAGGAGCTGGGGCACATGAGGCGCTCCTGGATCTGTGCATTCTCCTGATGGCATCTGGGCCCTTGTGTTTCAGAACAGGTCAGGGGGTAGGAGCCAAGTTAAGCCCTGGAGCTCTGTGTGCGTGCTGATGGAGAGGGTGCAGGATGGTGCTCTCTCGGCAAGTTTTCCATCTAAAATAATTCTAACATTTTAAAATCGTGACATGGGAATCGCCTCGATGCTGAGGAATAGTGCTTCCATGCATCACAGTTCTTGTGCCTACACATCCTCCAGGCAGCCACGTGGGGGCCGTTCCAGGCAGCCACACCAGCGCCTCTGCAGACTATAGCTATCTCGTATTCGCAAAGAAACTGGGACACTTGAATAAATCAAATAATCAAATGCTGGGAAACAAAACCTTATTTTTCTCTTGTCTTTTGTAGAGCAGCTTGAGATTGAGTCCAGGCCTCACGCATACCAGGCAAGTACCCTATGATGGCATTTCATCTATAAGCCCCAAACATCCTTTTGACAAAACAGGAAACACTGATATTTTCCCATAAGTTAACCTGCCAGTTTATATTGGCAATAGGTTATACATTTGGAGTATGTCTGTTAATTTTCAAGAATTGTCAATGTATGTGGGTGTGCATGCCCACGTGCACAGGCACATGTGTGTGCACATGGAGGTCAGAGACAGCCTCAGCTGCTAGTCCTCAGAAGCCATTTACCTAGTTTTGAGACAGGCCCTCTCATCGGCCTGTTGCTCACCTAGGAGGCTAGGCTGGCTGGCCAGTGAGCCCCAGGAGTCTCCTGTCTGCCTCCCCAGTGCTGCACCACAACATCCCGCTCTTTTTATGTGGGTTCTGAGGATCCAACTCAGGCCCTCAAGCTTGCAAGGCAGGCACCTGGATGACTGAGCCACCTCCCAGTCCATTCACTTAAGTGTGTTTGTTTATTCATTTATTGTTTGTTTGTTTGTTTGTTTGTTTGGACAGGGTGAGCTTGGGCTCTCTCTGGGATACCAGGTGTTGCCACTTCGCCCCTGAGTCTAGAATATTGTTGTGCAGCCTTGACTGGAATTCTTCACAAATACAAAGAAACAGAAAATACAGAGCTAAACATCTGTGCTTAAACAAATCAACATGTTAGAAGCTCAGCTTTTACGTCAGAAGCTAAAACAGCACCATCGAATCACTGCAAGCCTTCAGGAGGTAAACTGGTAAGCTATGGCATCACGGAACTCACTGAGCCCTCTCCACAGATCTTATATCTATACTGAGTCATCTTGCTCTTAATGAGATCTCAGTGGTGAAGAAAACAGTAACTAAGACAAGAGAATTACTTTTTTTTCTTGAGGTAGTTGGGATGAAATCCAGGCCCGATGCACGCTGGGCAAATGCTCTACCACTGAGCTACATCCCAGCCCTGAGCTATTTTTATATTCCTTATATCTTCAACAAGATCTGAGAGTAAAAAATATATGTGATTTTAAAAAAAGTAGAGGTATTGGATGGAAAGGAAAATACAATGGCACCATGGACAAGGTCAAGAATTTAATGGCTCCTGGGCTCTGGAAACGAAGCCCTCACTGTGGAAAATCAGCCCTTATCAATATAGTGCTGGTGCCAATCATGCGCCCAGACCTTAAAACAGAGTCACATTTTACAGCCATGCTTACCTTTCTCTTGCGACTTTCAGAAAGCTTTTGGAAAACATCCTGATTCCGTTGCCCAGTTTGCTGATTGATACAAATCATCTGGCACCTGTGACAGGGCCCCAGAACCTGTCAGAGGAGAAGAGACACGTGATGAGGCCCTCACACTCTGCATGGAGGAATCATACAACTATGGCCAATTTGTAAGTGGTCCCTCGGAGCCTGCTTGGAATCACCCATGTGAGGCTGTCAGCTGAAAGGTTACTGCTTAAGGGCTGTGGGAAGAAGGGAGAGAAACAATCTTGACAATTCTGGGGTGGGGTGGGGGTGGGAATCTGAGTGAAGAAAAGTACTCAGAAACTTCAAGGATAAAGAGATGGAACAGAAACCACCCAGCCAGGCCTGGGCCACCAATCAAGGCATCAGAAAGAATCCTCAGGTGTCTGTGTTCTTTCAGCAGTTATTACAAGAGTAGGCGTTTAACCTGAAAAGGAACCAGAAGTACAAACACAGAGTCACATGTAAGGATGTATCCTCCATTACTGATAGCAGGGAACACATCACACGGTAGCAAAGATGCCATGCCTACATGATGCTTAACACAAGTATCAGAACCAATCTAGGTGGGGCTGAGGATGTAGCTGGCAGTGTTTGCCTAGCTTGCACAAAGCCCTGGCTTCCATCCCCAGCTCTGCGTAAACCAAGTGTGGTGGCACACTCCTGTAATCCTAGCACTCAGAAGGCAGAGGCAGGAGGGACAGAAAGTCAAAGTCGGCTATAGAACAAATCTAAGGCTAGCCTGAGCTACACTGTCTCAAAAAAATCACAAAGGCCTTTAAATAAAATGTGCGAAATAATTATTTTCATAACTGAAGCAAATTATATGTGTATTTTATGTGGGTATATAGACATAGCTACCTGTGTATCTCACTCATACAGTGCATAAAACAGAATGTTATACATATTCAGAGTTCGAGGCCAGCCTGGTCTGCATGGGGAGTTTCAGATCAGCTAGGGCTGCATAGTGAGTCTCTGTCTCAATAAATAAATAAGTAAATAAATAAATAAATACAATGTTCTGCTCTTGGCAGAGGCCTTACTGAATGGTAAAGCCTCAGTAGTCAGATAACTATTAACAAAAAGTTATAGCTCAGCAGTAATGAGATTACTCTTTTATTACACACATAAAAGATGCAAAAATACTTTTTTTTTTCTTTTCAGACAGAGCCTTGATATATATTACCAGGCTGGCTTTGAACTCTCACACTCACGATCCTCCTGCTTTGGCCTCCTGAGCAACTGTGAGTCCCAGGCCAGCAATTCCATTTCCTCGTGGCCATTTTCACCTCTGCTCATCGTGAATGTGTATAAACTGTACGCTGAAATTAGGAGCACTGACATAATCTAGCTGAACCTCAGCTTGCTTCTCCAGAGTGCACTCTAGCTGGTAGGCACTCACCCCGTGGAAACAGAACCTCTGTGTGTTGCTGAGGTCCAGATTCCCAGGCCCTGCGAGTGCGGAAGTATGCTACGGAGCTCAGCCAGGTGCTCACTGTGACACTCAGCCAGTGACCGCTCTAAGACTCATTTCCTCATCCAACAGCTTAGCTGGATTTGACAAGGATTCCAGATACTATTTCAGGGATGCCAAGCTCAGGCCTGGCACTCCACTGCACTCAAGTGGAGACTCTGGCTCTGTAGCTGGGGATCCCAATGGATCAGGAGCCAGCTCAGTGCAGAACCCTCTTAGCTTCTCCTCCAGAGAAACTGTAACTCTCAGGGCACCTGCTGGAGGGATGCTGGGATCCACAGTAGACACCAGACCCAGATGCAGGCCAGGTGCCACCCACAGAAAACTCTTCAGATCAAAATCTTGTCAGTTTGTTGAAAAGATCTTCAGAAAATAGTTTCTCAGACTGGCAGGAAGGACATTTTCCAGATAATTCTCTTTGAACATTAACACAAAGGAAAGTGTTTCCGTAAAGCCCTGCCCTTTTTTCTTAGTGTTTTCAATTGGCATCTTAAACATCCACTTACTAGCCCATATGCTTACTTAAAAATAAGTCAAATATAGAAATATGGAGAATTAAAAGAGAAAGCCCAGCAGCAGCCTTCCCTCCCGTGATGCTTATTGACTGTCCAGCTAACAGGGGTAGAACCACCTATAATGCACTCCTCTGACCATGTCTGTGAGAGAGTATCTAGACTGGAGTAATTAGGGTGAGAAGATCCACCTGAATGTGAGTGGCACCATCCCAGGGGCTGGGATCACAGACTAAGAAGGAGGGAGAGAGTGGAGCTCAGCGTTCCTCGGTCTCCGCTTTCTGACTGTGGCTGGAATGTGGCCAGCGGCCTCAGGCCCCCACTGCCACGACTTCTCCAGCTGTAAACTGAGATGAACACATCTTTACAATGCTTTTCCCAGGTGTTTGCCACAGCAATGAGAAAAGCAGCTGCGGCCTCCTCATCCTCAGAGACCGCTGCTGCTAAGGGCCTGCGGGGCATCCCTGAGGCCCAGTGCTACTCCCAGACACACATCCACACCTTCGTGGACACACACTGATGTCTGGGAGGGCACCAGGGTTCCCTTTCATCACTCATGCACGTAGTGGGTAGCCTTCCGTGTCAGTGCATGGAGAGCAACCTCATTCTCACATTTTGGAATTTTCAGGATGGAAGCTTGTGTCTGTGAGTTGCTGTTCATAGCTCTTCTCTGTTAAGCCATGAACTAGTTCCCAATGCTTTGCTCCTGTTTGGGTTTGCCCAGGACTACACTGCAGCTGTAGCTTAATGTATTTTTTTAAGATTTTTTTTTAAAGATTTATTTATTTTTGTTTTACATGTATAAGCATTTTGCCTGCATGCCTGTATGTTAACCTTGTGCATGCAGTACCCACAGAGACCAGAAGAGGGTGTCAGATACCCTGGAACTGGAGTTACAGATGGCTCTTAGCCACCATGTGGGTTCTGGGAACTTGGTCCTCTGCAAAAACAACAAGTGCTGTTAACCACTGCGACACCTCTCCAACCCCCTAGCATAACTTATTTAACTAGCCTCCTTATATATATTTAGGATTTTCCTTAATTTTTCACAATATAATAATACTTCAATGAGCAATGTGGCAATATCTTTGCATCCTTGCCTTGGCTTGTTGGTGGTCACGGTAGTAGTTTCGCTATACTGGGGATTGAACCTGGGGCTCTGTTCATGCCAGGCAAGTGGTCTGCCACTGAACTCCATCCCCAGTCCCGACATGAGTATTTTTATGCAATAGTTTTCTACAAAATGAAGTTACTGGACCTAAGAGCATGTGTAGCTTAACTTTAATCAGTTGCTGTACATGAGGAATGTTAACATTAAAAGAGCAAGTGAGGCTGAGATGTCATTCAGAAAGGCTCTGTGTGCTTTCCGGGGGAGTGGGGGTGGGGTGGGCACAGGCAGTGCTATTTCTAGGTAAGCTCTGATAGGGACCAGCTTGGCTTCCTTTCCCTCTTCTCTCCTTCCTTCCTTTGGTCCTCCCTCCCTCCCTCTCTCCACATATCTCACAAGGTATATTTAGTGCAGGTGTTTCTAAAACGGCAGAGATGCAATGATGGAGAATGAGGAAAAGGCGGGAAATCAGGATGCAGGGACATGCAAGCTGCCAGAAGGAGGCTTCTGGGAGAGAACCCAGGAGAAATAAGAGGCTGGCTTTCAAGACGGAGCAGCTGCCTAGACAAGAGGAGCTCTGGGAGGTTAAAGGTAAGAAAGATCACTGGGACCTTGTGTTACACCACACAATTTGTCATTTATCTCCCAGCCCAGATTGGACATCCTTTGATAGCAATTTAGATTATTGATACTGTTTTTCCAGATGTTAGACTGGTCTTCTATCTGAGTGCAGATCCTGGACACAAGGTAGTCACATGACAGCCAGCTTCCACCCCTGCTATGATGTCAGTGATTTCCTTCCCACTCAAGACCTGAGCACATTCTCCAGGGCTGAACCCTTCTCTGCCCCAACTATTCCTGATCTTTCCTGTCTGCCTGCTCCCTCAGCAATTACTTATGGGGCACTGACTCAGCCAGACTGTAGGCCCTAGAGGCACAGATGGGAAAAACAGACTTGGACCTTTGTGTGCTCTGAGGGAATGCAGCAGACCTCATGCAAAGTGGGATCATGTAATCTGATGAGGTGGTCTCTGAGCCCAGGTCCAGAGCAACATGACAAGGAGAAGGGACAGCCAGGGCAAAGGCTGAGGAAGGAAGGTTGTCTAGTCCAGGGCACGGAGAGGTCAAGGTTAGAGGTAGACAGCTGAGGGGGAAGGAGCTCAGAGAGATGGCAGGGGCAGAGCCCATGGAGTTCTGCTAGTCAGGTGAGGAACAGCAGTTTTAGCCTGGGGCGTCCCTTCCGTTTCTCACGGCTTTGAAGCCCACAGTGAAGGCTTAGGGAGCCCAAAGACTGGGAAGAGACTTAGCCAGTGACTAGTATCTTCTCCCCAACTGCCATGGAGGGCAGAAACCAGAGAGTGAGGAAGGAGGGGGAGAGGAGAGGAAGAAGTGAAGGAGGAGGGAGGGGAAGGGAAAGAGAGACAGAAAAAAGGCAGAGGAAGAGAAAGAGGAGTGTTTATCATGACAGCAGCAGTCGTGGGCACCGAGGAGTCACAGGCTCTGGTCTCTCACAAGCTCCACAGTGCCAGAAAGCCCCGAAACATTTAGGAGGATGAGTTCTCATGGACACAAGCATTCCAAGAAGACTTAGCCTAACCATGATGCAAAGAGGTGCCGCCCAGCCTCTGACGATCTGTGCAGGCACTCTCCTTCCTTATGGGAAACTCACCACTGCCACCCTCATGGGAAGGACAGAATGGATCAGTCAAGACACACCCCAGAATTCTGGGGTCGCATGCCCTACTAATGAGGTTTTGTGGGTAACGGACAAAGATGGCAGGGGAGGGGGAGGCACCTGCCACTGTCCAGGTCTAGTTGAGAACAACTGTCATTCACAACCTTCGAAGAAAGGTAACAGACCAGCCTGCAACATACCTGGAAATGCAAGGAGCCGATTGAAATCTCGTCCCACGTCTCTTCTTCAAAAGCCCTTGTTCCATTGGTAATTATATTGGCACGGAAACGGGAGACAAGATCCTTCATCGGGAATGATTCCTCCTGTCCAGGGCCATCACTGTTTAGAAAGACCAAGAAAGAAGTGTAGGGAATGGCAGAAGGCTGTGCTGTGGTAGTGATTCCACACACCCACCACTCAATGCCTGCCTTTATCAGCCCTACTCTGGCCTAAGGCCTGAGTGGCCAGAGCAAACTTCTCCCATGAGACACCCATCTGTTAGAGACATGGCCATAGCCTCTCCCTGTATGTGGGCTCCTCCAGGGAGAAGCCCACAGGAGACAGACAAAGGGTGGATAGGTCTTAGCCAAAGAGATGAAGTGCTTTGGAAACCAGATGAACAGGGTCAGGTGAACGAGGCTTGAGAAAACACCAGTTCAGAACATGGGAGCATCATCTAAGAGCTATCAGCAGGCCAAACTACCATGAACCTGCCAAGTATGGTGACCACACTCCATTGTGCAAGTCAGAACATCATAAGAAACATGGAAGAGGGGCTGGAGAGATGGCTCAGCAGTTAAGAGCACTGACTGCTTCTATAGACGACCTGGGTTCAATTCCCAGCACCCACATGGCAGCTAACAACTGTCCATAACTCCAGTTCCAGGGAATCCAATGCCCTCTTCTGACCTCCTCAGGCATTGCACAGCACAGGTACACTTACATACACACAGGCAATACACTCATACACATAAAATAAAAATAAATAAAATATTAATATTTAATAAAAAGAATCATAGAAGAGTCTTTGTTTATTGAGTCAAGGTCTCGCTATGGTGGCCAGGAGGGCCCTCAAGTTTGCAATTCCCCTGCCTTAGCATCCCAAGCGCTGAAATTATAGGTATGCATCATCGATACCCAACTGAAGGATAATATTTTATTATGTTTTATTTATTTATTCATTGGTGGGGGAGGCATGCACATGGTACACATGTGGAGGTCAGGGGACAACTTGTGAGAGTTGATTTCTACTATCATGTGCAACCCAGGGTAGAACTCAGGTTGCCAGGTTTGACAGCATGTGCCTTACCTGCCATGGCACCAGCCCACATTTGCAAAGAATAATATTCTTAACTTCTATTTACAGTTTTAACAAGCATTTGAATTTTTGTTGATTTTTTTTTCCTGAAACAGGGTCTCATGTAGTCCAGGCTGGCCTCAAACTCACTGTGTAGCCAAGGATGGCCACAAACTCCTGATTCTCCTGCTTCTGACTCCCAAATACTGAGATTACGTGTATGCACCACCATGCCCAACTTATATATTCTTGTTTAATTTTTTTTTTACTGCTACAAGCTTCCACAAAATTACTTTCTGCACCTCCATACACACTCCAATCCCACATAGAGGAATACACTGAAAATAGTTCCAACTGTCCCCCTGCCAACACCATAGCTCACTCTATACATTAAGCCCAAGAACAGGTGAAGCTAGCCACCAGAGAAGAAGCCAGAATAAGGGTGGGGTTGACTCGAAGTCAGTGGGGTCGACTCCGATGGTCTACAAGAGAAGTTTCTGGGGACGATCCCCACTTGAGCTGGGTCACTAGGGTGCACACAACTGTAAAATTTCACTGAGCTGTGTTCTTAGGATTTTTTTACACTTCGTGTACTTCAATGAGTTTCTAGAATTTCTAAGTTGGTATGTGCTGGGAGGTGGTAGCCGGTGTTCACTCAGCATGGTAGACAGAACTGAAAGGCTTGTCGAGATCATCACAAAGCCCTTCTGAATAGCAGAGCCTCTGTGTAAACCAGAGGCCAGGAGACCAATAGCTTCACCATGAGCTATGTGCATCTCCCACGGCCTAAAAGGACTGCGGCTTCCATCTCCAAAATGAGGATAGCACTGTCAGTCCTTTGAGTAGGGATTTACTTTTCTGGGTTGACACACACACGCGCGCACACACACACACACACACATCCTTTGGGTTCGGTGAAATGTCTGAAAGCATTTGTGGTTACGATTCAAATAAAGGAATTCATCAAATGTGCAAACAGATCACCAGGAAACACCAAGCCCCGCTCTAAACCAGCTAGTGGGAGATACTGACCCCTGCTGGTAGGGTCCAGGGTTGCAGCAAGTCTGTCCTCACCTGTAACTTCTATCAAAGACCCCAGAAAATTGTACACCTAATGGCTCCTACTCTGGGTGCCTGAGGAGGAGGGTCCCTGAGTGCTGAGAAAACTCAGTGAACTCTGGAGACTGTAGCTATGCCGCAATTCTGCACCCGAGAAGGACAAAGCAGCCCATAGCTAGGGAACGCCACTGTGGGTTCTCACCAAAGACCAGAAACCAGAATCACTCCACTCCCAGCAGCCCACCGCTTGCAAGATTAAAAGCTTCTCAGCCCCTTCAAAGCATAAAATTTTTCTCCTTAATAATTAGTAGAGGTGAAAACATTACCATTGAAATCTACCTGACGACTTTATATCCATGTTCAGATGTCAAGGAGCTCAGAAAGTAACCGACTGTGACTAGTAATAATCAGATATACAGAGATTAGAAATGCACGTGGAAACATCTTAATGTCAATTGCATTAAAATGAATTTTTCTGTATGAAACTGTGTATTTTAATAATCAAAAGGAGATCTTTTTTAAAGGTTAAAACCTCATTTAATGTTATGTCTTATAGGGTTTATACTGAGTACAATATTGTATAACTGTAATAATTTAACTGTAAACCTAATAATTTACAGCCAATTTTGAAAGTGATGCATCTTAGCTCTGGAAATCGTTAGTGAATATGTCAATGTTGTTGTAATGAAATGTTTCTTCTAAGTATGTGGTTATTAAGTAAATAATTTTTTAAAAAAAGCTTCTCCACCCCTTCTCACCTGTATCTGCAGGTGTTTTAAAATGTGTCATCCATGCACAAGGCCACGTGGCACATGAGAACGACAGCACCCTAGGAGTGTGCGCCCACCTCCCTGGCCTGAGGAATGAGAAGCCAGTGTCCACCATGCTCTGGCCTCACAGCTGGGTGATTTCCCTAACTGCCTGCTACCTTGGGACTTGAATTTCCTCTCAAAAACAATGAGGTCAATGTGATCAGACCCTTTCTAGAGTTGAGATGGCATCCTAACAGCAGTCCCCCCACACACACCCCCAGGAAAGGAGTGAGGAGCAGTGAGCAGGGCCACAAGCAGTGTCCAAGGGTGTATCTTGCAAACAAAGCCTGCCTGGGGGCTGGAGAGATGGCTCAGGGGTTACATGCACTGGCTGCTTTTGCAGAGGACCCTGGTTTGGTTCCAACACTCACATGGCGGCTAAAGGCCATCCTAACTCCAATTCTAGGAGATCCGATGCCCTCTGCTGACCTCCACGGGCATTGCATGACATGACTGCACTTACACACATTCAGGTAACACTTATACACATAAATAAAAATAGTGAATAAACTATGTTTAAGCCTGCCTGGAATTACACTCAAAGTGCTTCCACAACCACTCCTCTTCAGCCCTCCGACGGCTGTGTGAAGCAGGGCAGGGGTCCTAAGAGTCAGGGGACAGTGGAGGGTGGGCAATGAGATTGGGTCAAGCCGGTAACAATTCAATTAAAACAAGGTGAAGAAAGAGAATGACTAAAAGTGACAGCTAGAGGAATCGCCACTCTTTACCTCCAGGGTGTCCAGAAGGACAGTGGAAGCTTCTATAGACTGAACTTTAAATATCCTTAAAGGTCCTTCCTTATGGTTGAAGGCTTGGTCCCCAGAACGGTGCTACTGGGGGTCCCAACACAGCTCTTTTTCGTTCCTCTATCATGAGGAGAGTGACACTCCTGCTGCAGTAGATGGGCCACAAGGACTCAAAGCAATGAGGCCACCAAGCATGGCTGACCCCTGAGTCGGAGCACACCTGTCCCCTCCATACACTAGCTGCCCCAGGCAGTGCACAAGAGTGCTCAGAGACTCACAGAGACTGGGACTGAGGAAATGACTCAGTTGATAAAGTGCTCGGTATAAAAAGATGAGAACCTGACTTCAATCCCCAGCACCTGTGTAAGAAGCCTGGTGTGGTGGCATGCACTTGTAAACCCAGTGCTGGAGTGATGAGACAGAAGGCTCCCTGGGGCTCACGAGCCAGTCAGCCTCGCCTATCAGTGAGCTCTAGGTTCAGTGAGAGATCCTGTCTGAAAAAAAATAAGGTGGATGCAGCTGGAGAGACATCTCAGCAGTTAAGAGCACTGGCTGCTCTTGCAGAGGACCCAGGTTTGAATCCCAGCACCCACACGGCAGCTAACAACCATCACTAACCCCAGTTCCAGGGGATCCTATACCCTCTTCTGACCTCTGTGGGCATTTCATGACACAGGTGTACTTACATATATGCAGACAATACACTCATACACATAAAATAATAAGAAATAAAATATTTAAAAGACAAGTTGGAGAGCAATTGAGGAAGAAAGTGTCCAAGGTTGACCTCTGGCCTCTACACTGATTTGCACATGTGAATATACACAAGAACACTTGCACACACATTCACACATATACACACAAATTTTTTTTTAAAGAAAAATGAACAGGAAGTGAGCAAAGGGCTCACTGACTTCACCTGTAACAAGGGTCTGGAGTCACTGACTCCTGGGTCTTTCCTTCCCATGAGATGCCAGGCCCTGCAAGAGCAAATAGCTCCACTTGTCTGCAGCTCCAGGGAAAGCTCTTACCTGGCATTCAGCTGGTGCTGAAGATCCAGAATGCTTGATGTGTTTACTAGCAGATACTGTGCCTCGTTCACAAGGGAAAGGGTGGCTGTGGTGCCCGGAGGAGGATCTGAAAACAGAGCATTGAAAGGAGGGTCGCTCTCTGGGAAACACTGAGGAATATCGTTTCCAAGACTTGCGGTTTCTAAAGGCAGATGCTGTCTTCAAGGGGAAGAAAGGACACTCCAGCAAAAGAAAGCATGTTCCGAGCATGGCTCAGGCCTCTGCAAACAGAAAAACCAGGCTTCTAGCAAATTCTGCTTCAACTATCCAGAGATGAGGACAGCAAACAAGGCTAAGGTGAGATTATTCTGAAAAAGAGTTTTGGATTTGGACCAGGGTCTTCCTACACAGCCCAGGCTCGAAGAGCCAGTGAGGGGCTAGAGCACAGTGGAGGGCCTCGTGATCAACACAGGCCTGTAAAGAGCCTCTACACCTCCCCAGAGAAAAGACGCCGATTCTAGAAATAAACAGATGATTCAGAGCTATTGAAAAGGAAAAAACTATTGAAAGAAAGTGTGAACTATTTTTATCTAAGCTGTTCATAAAGAGGGCTGGCTGGGTCAGCCTATGGAGCCTCCTCAAACCAGGACTGTGGTCCCCAGAGTACATAAGAATGTCCAGGCTCTCCACGCCTGTCCTCTTTGGTCTTCCTGAGAAGGGAGGTGCCATCCCAGCCCCTCTACAAAAGGCCTGCTCCCCTATCACAGAGGAAAAGCCACAGGTCTCCTAAGGCCTGCTGCCCCCCCAGGGGGCTGACAACCTCTGGGATAGCAAACAAAAGCCCCATTCAAATCCTGGAGCCAGAGCTAGGGAAATAAAAGTCTCCGCAGCCTGGGCAAATGATCCTCCCGAAAGTCAGATGGAGTCCAGTCCTTCACTGGCCGTGAACTGTGGGACCTAATTAAGCTGTCTAGTGACAGACATGAAAGGGATTTCATGTTAGAGCTCTGTGTTTCAGTCACGGATCTCAGAAGAAAGGCTTGCATGTCAGGATGCTAGCCAAGCTCCCCTGTTCCCAAGCGCTTTATGATGCACAAGATTCTCAGAAGGCAGTGATGCTGAGCACCACAGGATCTGTCCTCAAATGACAGCCACTCTCCAGTGTGGGCACCAATAGCAGGAGCCCAGTTAGCACAGAAAGAGATTTCCAAGATTTGCTCTTTAAGCTCAATAATCATTTTTCAAAATATACAATAGATTTATGTTGCTTTGATTGACTAAGTGTTGTTAAAAATATAAAGACTCAATCCAGAAGAAATCTCCTCACCTTTAGTCCTTTTTGGTCTAAGCAAATTTCAAAACTTTCTTATATGTTTCAACTTATAGTTTAGTTTTATAGAAGTTTGGGTGAGTGACCAAGGCAAGATTCTCTGCATAAAATATATGACTCCAAGACAAAATAAGCAGAATGGAAAAGCAAATAAATAAGGAAAGAAATAAAACCCCTTACATAAATGCTTGCTCGGCACTCATGAGAGCCAGTTAGGAACCCACGTAATGCTGGATGCAGTGGTGCACATCTGTAATCCCAACTCCTGGGCCTCTTTGCTACTGCGTCTCCCACTCAGATGCAGCCGTTACTCTAAGCACAAGAGGTATCATGAAACCCCCAGATGAGAATCCTGCGATGTGTTTCTGTGGCCACAAGATGAAGTCAGGAGCCAGTTGCCCTGTGAATCCACTTCCTTGCCTGGATTTGACATGTGCAGAATTACCAGGGCTCTGGTCCTCTAACAACCCACCCAAACATAATACCTTTTCCAGATGTTTTCCTTGCATTCCTCCGGAAGTTTGAACTTTGCTTGATTAAATGGCATGGGCGGCCAATGAACTTTGACAACCAGTTTGAAATTTTTTCTCCACAATCGTAAGTATTTACCCTGGTCAGAAAAGAAAAGTGAACTTTTAGATAGTAATTCTTTAAATAATTATTCAAATTGCACATAGTCAGATTAAAATAAGATAACATAAAACAAAACAAAACATTACAAGCCTCCATTAGAAGCCACCTGAAGCAGCTGGCTGAGCAAGACCTGGGATGTGGGGCCTGTTGGGAGGCTTTCAGACCACATCAAAAACTTGACAAAATCATCCTGAAAGACCTTCTTTGTTTTAATTATTGACATTGAGACTCCCAAAGTGTAGAATTTGAGATCTTTCAGGCTGATATTTTGCTTTAATAAGGCCTTAAATCGAGAATCGTGTCCTGGGTTTCACAATGGGCCTGACTGAAGAGTCTTTCCTCACGGTCAGATCACATGACCTGATCTGTTTGGATTACCACATGAATGCTGGCTGTGCTATAAGGTACAGTTATATTATATAAGTACATCTACTGATCTGATGTTTTAAAACTTTAGACCCTCTAGAATCTTTTATCATATATATCACAAAGATTCATGCCAGATCTTATCTTGGAATTATAGTATTTAATATCTTAGAATTACACAATAGACACTGCTGAAAATTTAATTTTTTACTGGGGAAGGACAGCAGGCCTTTTCTGGGAGGAGAAAGAACTAAGATACTCAGCTCTTTGTAGCACTCCTGCCTGTGCCTTCTGAGCCCGTACCCATGATTACGTCTGTCATGGTGAGTATACATGGTTCCCAGCAGAAATGCCTCTGACCTCCAAATATCTGAAAAGCTTTATAAACAGGGACGCTGCACTCCTCTCAGTGCAGCCAAGCGAAATGTGTGGCTCAATAAATAACTGCGCACATTCCTGGCCAGCGAGACAGCTCAACAGGTAAAGGCACTGATTATCACCAAGCCGGATGACCTGAGCTCGATCCCTGGGACCCACACGATAGAGAAAACCAGCTCCTGAAAGTTGTCCTCTGACCCCCACACACATGCATGTGGCACACACACAAATAAATAAATATGATAAAAATAATTGCATGTGTCCCTAGGTGGCTACATTTCTTTCCAATAAAAATTTTGCTTATGGTAATGTGGAAAAATGTTTGCCCATTGTCCCAACTGACAATGTGATAGAATGAATATTTAGGTTGTCAGAAACAGGTAAATTGGTACAAGTACCGGCAAGAAGAGTGTGCTCAACTCTCCAGCCTCCAAGACAGAGGCCACAGGGCTCAGCTGTGCTGAGCATCACCATCCCATCACCCACTTCAAAGTCCCAGAGGGAGCCTTGCCTGTCAGCTGGGGCAGTGTCATGGCTAATTCTGACTGACATATTGATTGAATTTAAAGTACCTAGACATGGGGTTAGAGAGATGTCGTAGCGGTTAACCGAGCCTGCTATTCTTTCTGAGAACTAAGTTTAGTTCCCAGCACCCATATGGCAGATCACAACCATCTGTAACATCAGCTCCAGGGGATCCAGCATCTTCTTCTGGCCTCCTCAGGCACCTACATGCATGTGGCATACACTCTCACAGGCACACATACACACATAAATTAAAAAACAAATATTAAAGAAATATATCTAGAAAAAAAAGAAATATACACTATACCTAGGAGATTAGTGAGGCACCCCTTTGGGTGTATCTGGGAGGGTGTTTACAGAGAGGATCCGCTGAAGGAAGGAGACCCACCCATAGCTGGTGTCGCAGACTGAGTCAAAGGAAAACGGGAAAATTCGCCAAACAGCTGCATTCCCTTTCTCTGACCCCTGGCCTGTCAAGATGTGAGCCAACAGCCTCGAGCTCTGGCTGCCACTGCCAGCAGCCATTCCTGACAGCTTCCTTCCCTGCCAGGATGGACTGAACCCTCAAATCATGAATCAAAATGTAAACCCTTCTCTAAGTAGCTCTTCTCAAGTTTTGGTCACAGCAATGAGAAAGGAACACAGCACCTGGACCCAATTTGAATATAAGTTAGTAGTTAACATGTTGTGTCATGACTTGCCCTGTGGTACTCTCAGCAATGCAAAGGAGACATAAGGCATTTCATATTTATGCAGTGCCACCTTCACTGAACATGTACCTATCCACTGTGGAGGTCACTGCATTAAGTAATGGACTGTTCATAGTCTGGAAGCTTGTGTATATGGGTGGAGCTGTAGGTGCATATGCACATACTGGATAGCTTCAATTGTCAGTTTGACACACCTGGGAAAGGAAACCTCAGCTGGGGAACTTTCTCTAACAGACTGGCCTGTGGGCACATCTGTGAGGCATTTTCTTGGTTGTTGAATGATGTAAAAGAACCCAATCCACTGGGGGTGCCACCCCTGGGCAGGTGGTCCTGGGTTGTATAAGAAAGCAGACTGAGCACAGGCCAGAGGGAGCAAGCCAATTAGCCATGGTCTCTGCTTAGGTCCTACCTCCAGGTTCCTGCTTTGAATTCCTGCCCTGACTTCTCTCAACGATAGACTGTGCTCTGGAAGTCCAAGATGCAATAAACTCTTTCCTCCCCAAGTTGGTTTTGGTCAGGGTGGTGTTTTATCACAAAAATAGAAAGCAAACTAGGACACATGTATGCATGTATGTGGGGAGGCCAGAGATCACTCTTGGGAGTCATTCCTCAGGAGCAGTCACCTTTATTCTTTTAGATAAAAATCTCTCACTGGGACCTGGGGCTCATTGATCTGGCTAAGTTGGCTGAGCATCGAGTCCCAGGGATCCACTTGCCTGTTTCCTCAGGACTAGAATTACAAGAGCAGGGACACTATGCACAGCTTTTTACATGGGTGTCAGTTATGGAACTTGGACCTTCATGCTTCCATGACAAGCATTTTATTGACCTAAGATCTCCCCACCCCCTGCTTTTTGTCTTCAGTTAGATGTTTTGGTATGGGAGGGGGTGTTGTGTGGCATTAGTTTGGATAGGGTTCCCGCGATTGGAAACTGTACCATCCACATTTTCAGGTATAGATCAGATATAGGTCACAAAGGATACAGATAGAGGCCTAAACTTTCCTTATGAGAAGAAAACTGACAGACGGGAGGGAAAGAGCCCTAGGGAGTTATAAAAAGGGAAGCACATGACAGGCCCTGAGAACGGCAAGTGCAAAGTCTTGAAAATGGAGCATGTTGGATAGGTAAGCCCATGTGATGGAAGCTGTGCGTGTGCAGAACACAGAGTGGAGGGGGGGGGGGGGCGCGGCGACACGAGGGGGGGGGGGGGCGCGGCGACACGAGGGGGGGGGGGGGCGCGGCGACACGAGGGGGGGGGGGGGCGCGGCGACACGAGGGGGGGGGGGGGCGCGGCGACACGAGGGGGGGGGGGGGCGCGGCGACACGAGGGGGGGGGGGGGCGCGGCGACACGAGGGGGGGGGGGGGCGCGGCGACACGAGGGGGGGGGGGGGCGCGGCGACACGAGGGGGGGGGGGGGCGCGGCGACACGAGGGGGGGGGGGGGCGCGGCGACACGAGGGGGGGGGGGGGCGCGGCGACACGAGGGGGGGGGGGGGCGCGGCGACACGAGGGGGGGGGGGGGCGCGGCGACACGAGGGGGGGGGGGGGCGCGGCGACACGAGGGGGGGGGGGGGGGCACAGAGGGGGAGGGGTGCGGGTGCGGAACACAGAGTGGAAGGTGTGCGTGTGCAGAACACAGAATGGAGGGCATGTCAAAGGATCAGTGTACAGGCCACAGCTGTCTTCATCTTCTGGGCCACTGTGTCCATGGAGCTAAGAGTGTTAGCTGCTCCAGAGTCTCACCTGTCTGCACACACTTTGCTTTGGCAAATACGAGCCTGTTCACCATCTTCCTCAAGAGGCAACTCTATAGGCTCCATCCCTAATGAAAAAGGGTTGACGTGAGTTAAGCATCACATGAAACAACTATACAAGTAAAAGCCCATTATCATGAAGAATTTTAATGACGCTGGGATTTAGCTAGATCGAGAAAGTAGCTGGCTCTGGAAACTGATAGCACGAAGGTTTTCTTCATCATTCTCGGTATCACAGTGTGAGCTGCTTGAAGCAGCTTTCTAGTGGAAGGCCTCGCTGTGGGTCATCCACACTGTAGATGCTCTGCAAATTACTTTGACAGATTTCTCTACACCACAGGACTCTATATCTAAAGCCGCTGTTTTCTAAGCAGCCTTAAATCCTGTAGAAATAGATCAGCAGTCGTGACCATACTGCCATGAATGCATCTGATCTCATCTCACCTCAGAAGCCAAGCAGGGTAGAGTCTGGTTAGTGCCTGCTGTAAAGATATTCGCATAGAGTGTCTACTTTCAGAATCAAATTGGATTCCTGCATCAGTAATGAATATTGCTTAAAACTATATATGTGATGCCGTTAGTTCCAGCACTCGGGAGGCAGAGGCAGGTGGATCTTTGTGAGTTCAAGGCCACCCTGGTCTACATAGGGAGTTCCAGGCCAGCTGGGGCTACAGGGAGATCCTGTCTCAAAAAGTCCCCTGCAAAAAAGGCTATATAGGTGGGATTGGAAAACTTTTCCAATGTTCAATTATATATATATGTGATTATATATATATATATATATATTACATATAAAGGACTAATGTGTATATATAATAGTTTAAATAGTATCTTAGATACCCAAACTTGAGCAAGTATACAATAACAGGTCACATGTCAATATCACTAATAAAAGATACAAAAATACTAAACATAATACTATCTAACCAAACATAACACAGTATGATGTCCACATAGTGCTTTTTCTCAAGAGAGCAAGGATAATTCAGATCTAGACAATCCATTAACATAACATGACACATTAATAGATTATGTGACAAGAAAGCATGTGCTAACCAACAGATGTCAAAGAAATATCAGGTAAAAACTGGCCATCGGCCATGACAAATCTTGTGACAAAGTAAGAAAAGAACTTCTTCAGCCTAATAATAAACACATCGAAAACCTAAAGAAAATGCTGTGCTTATCTTGGAAACGAGCAGCATTCTGTTCAAACCAGTAATAAAGACTAGTGAGTTCCATCACTGTGCCAGATAGTTATACAATAAAGATTAGAAAATGGACCAAGAGAAGAAAAAGAGACATAAATGGGAGGCGGGAGTACAGCACCTATCTGTGTTAGAAGATCTGGAAATGAGAACCTACTGGCAGGCTTCTGCACACAGGAAGATGTGAAACAAGGCTCGTGAAGCCAAAGGGAGACTCACAACAGGCCAGAGACCCTGCCACAGAGAACCTACCCAACAGTCAAAGGAAAGCCCGCCAGGCTCTTGCTTCTGCCCAGGGAAGGCAAAAGTTAGGTCACATGTCCAGCACCCAGCGTTTTTGAGGGCACTCCCCAGATGCCTTCACAGTGTTGGAGCTGTCTGGATCTGGCCAGGTATGTCACCCAGGAGGGGGTAAAAGCACGGGCAGGAAGATGCTACTGCCTTTCCCTTCTGCTCAGAGCAACAGAAGAAATAAACACCCAACTGCCTGCTTCTCCCGGCTTAGGAAAGTTGGTAGGACATGCCCCTCCCAACCCCCTGCATCCTGCCCAGGCTCACTGGTGAGGAGTGAGGGGCCCCTCCTATGCAGGGCTTGTCCCTGAAGACTGGGAGCCATTCCCACTCCAGCCAATGCAAAGACACCACCACAAACAGTGGAGGCAAACGAAGAGCCAGAACAAGGCAGACCCCTGCCAACCCTGATGAAATGGGGTTATGTGGCTTATGAGATACATGTTTTGAAACTCTCATGGAGATATTCATCACTGAGATCATGTGAAGAATTCATTAATAAAGTCGGTATTTCAATAAAAAGATTTTTAAAAAATTTTTAAACCAAGAAAAGTGGTTTATGCTTGCAATCCCAGCACTCAGAAGTGATCATGAATTCAAGACTAGCCTGAAATATACAGTGAGACCCTGTTTTAAATTTAAATATATATAATATATACATGTCCACCTATACATGCACACATACACACATAGGTGTGTATGCCTCAGCATGTGTATGGAGGTCAGATAACCATTTAAGGAGAGATCCATACACACACACACACACACACACACACACACACTGAAAACATGATTTAAAATATTTTTAATAAAGAAGGAATAGGGACACAGGGCTAGGTGAGACCTCAGTCAGTAAGACACTCACCTGGCAGGCATAGGGACCAGAGTTTGACCCTCCAGAACCCACATTTTAAAAAGAAGCTAGGTGTGGTGGTGCATGCATGTAATCCAAGCATTGGAGAGGCAGAGACAGGAGGATCCTTGGAGCTCACTGGCCAGGCAGCCCATCCTACTTGGTGAATACCAGGCCAATGAGAGACTCTCAAAAAACAAGATGGATGACATTAGAGGAAAGACTGGCAAGATTGTCCTCTGACCTCCACATGCACGCACAGCATGAGCGCACCACACACACACACACACACACACACGCACTCAAAGAAAGTAAAAGGGATATTACTTAAAGAGGGAGAATTCACCAAGGAGACATAATAACCTAAGTGAAGGAAAAACTAAACAGGAAAACTAAACGGACAAATGTCCAATTATAGCTCACCATACCCCCAATCTACTCATGCCTACAGATCCCTTCATGCGACTGGCACATAATAGCTTATAGAAGCTGAGATGTATTTGGACGGACACCCAAGGTGCTGGGAAACATGAGGTGGGGGCAAGAGAGACTTGCTTTTTAAACGCTATGCCATTCATTGATTCAAAGATACTGAATACATAAACATTAAAATTAAAAATTAGTCAAAACCAGAAACACTCTTTGGTGAACACATAGATAAATACACTCGGTTACATCCATACCCGGAAAGACTGCTCAGGAACAAGGAGGAACAGGTAGGAGCTTGGAGGGACCTTGAAACCATCACATTGATGATGCCAAAGGAGCCTGTCTTCAAAGTCCACATACTTCAGGATTCTCTTAGGGGCTGGAGAGAGGGCTCAGCAGATAAGGGCACTGGCTGCTCTTGCAGAGGACCTGGCTTCAGTTCCCAGCACCTACATGGTGGCAACCCTCTGTAACTCCAGGTCCAGGCAATCTGACACCTTCTTCTGGCCTCCACAGGTAGTACATGCATGTGGTGTACTATGTGATTCTCTCGACACCACAGTCTCTCTGGTCATCAGACGTTACGGTTAGAAAAGGGAGACTGTACAGATTAGCAGTTAACACCCCTGGGATGACAGGCTGTTTTGAATCTTGATTCTGCTGTGAGGAGGGGTGGCTACACAGACACACGTGTTAAAATTTATGCAACAGAACCAAGGTTAAGTATGGTCCCACAATTTGGAAGAATGAGCCACCAGGATTCACTCTGGAACTCTTAGCAATATCGATCTATCGGTTTAAGGAGGACAAGCACAAGGACAGAAGGAAACACAGACAAGAAACCCAGTGAAGACATGGAGAAGAGGCGCATCACAAAGTCTGGCCACAAGTCGGATGGAAAACTGCAATATTCTGTAAGTCACAAATAAGGTGAGGAGAGAGGAGTAGTAAGGCGTGTCTAGAGAATTTCAGCGCCATCTGCAATGGTCATTACCATCTGCTCATGGTAGAACCACCTGTCATACAAGCCTGATGACCTGAAACCCAGTAAAAAGTCAGATGTGGTGTAGCATGCATCTGTAATCCCAGCTCTCCTCCACTGAGATGGGAGGCAGGGACAGGAGAATCAGGAGCTCTCAGGCCAGTTAGCCTGAGTCCAAAGTACAGCTCAGAAACAAGAGAGATCTTGCCTCAAAAACAGGATGGAAGGAAAGAACCAACTCCCAAAAAGTAGTCCTCTGATGTCCATATCCATGCTGTGGCACACATGCACAGAGAGGGAGGAGAGAGAGAGAGAGAGAGAGAGAGAGAGAGAGAGAGAAGAGAGAGAGAATAATGACAATAATAATGATAATAGATAAAATTTCAAGAAGAGTAGGAGGAGCAGGATCTTGAGAATTGAGATTTGTTAAAGCGGGATAGCATACTTGCAAATTGTGTTATTCTCTACCTCTGTGCTGACAATCCCTGGAGCCACAAGACGTACATAACTATTAGATGAATTAAAAATAGAATAAGTTTTGAAATCCAGTTCTGACATCTGCTGGCCATATATCAGGCACTCAATATCCACATAGGACCAGTGTCTACCAAACTGGGTCAATGTAGATACTGAACACTATCATCATAGAAAGTTCTGCTAGACAGAGCCATCTATCCATTCCTACGTGGTGGAAGCTCACAGTAAAAATCAAGAAAGCATGAAAACCTGCAGCACACAACACGACAGTAAGAAGGGAATGCAAGCATCATGAGCATCATCATATGATTCGGAGTTTATAGCTACTCACCTGTGATTGGACTGTTACCTCCTCCCCTCCCAAACCTCACAAAACAAAAAGAGAACAAGTTTTTTGTTCTTCCTTAGATGCTATTTTACTTTCTATAGAATAATTCTAATATTTTTCAGAAGCAAGGCCACTATTTTATTTGAGGATGAACCCTGCCCCATGGCTGCTCCATGGAAATGAACCCTTTCCACACCTTTGGCTTTGATGACCATGATCCTCTGCTGCAGGTCTATGTAGGGCTGAATCAGGCAGAGCCGTGGCTCCTGCTTCTGGCTCAGGCAAATGCCATTGTGGTTCACAACCATCCAGTTCCGGTCATACAATAGCCCCTGGCTCCCTACAGGCCACTTGGTCACCTAGAGAAAAGGCAGGGGGGATTTTAGGCCAGGGCTTCTCAAAAATGGTCATATCATTACATACAAGTACAGATGGGCTTCATGAACTTAGTACATACACCTGAAGGGCCAGAGGAGAAGGCACAATTAAGAAGGCTGTGCAAAGGAAATGGCATGGGAGGGAGAGCCCGTCCCTTCAGCCTTGGACCCAGTCTTCCCCCTTCTCCACTGGGCAGGTAAGGTGTGTGCGTGCAAGACATTCAGAGAGTACAGGGATCTACGATACAATTCTGTCTCACTCCATGGCTGGCACCCCTCCCCGTGGGTGTCCACAGACCCTGCTTTTTGTATAGCCTTCCACCACGGTGGACACCAGTCCAGGTATATCCTAAGACTACAAGCATGTTGCTTTGCTGGACTGATCACTGATTTGACCCACTTCAAGTGTGTAAGTTTTCCTGCTGACCTAGTTTCCTTTCTGTTATGACAAAAATCCTAAGCAAAAGCAACTTTGTGGAGGAAAAGGTTTATTCATCTTACAGTTTTAGGTTCCAGTCCATCACTGCAGGAAGTCAGAGAGGCAGGAGCCTGAGATAGCTGGTCACGTCACGTCCAGTCAAGAGTAGAGAGACAGGAACGTGCCCCACACTGCCTACTTCCTGCTTCTGCTCAGCTGGCTCCCTTCACTCCCTCACAGATCACGGTCGGCCCATGAAATGGTGCTACCCATAGTCACGGTGGGTCTTCCTACTGCAGTTAACAATCAAGACATGCTCACAGGCCAACCCCAGCTAGATAGTTCCTCACTGAGAGTCTGTCTTCCCAGGTGACTGACTCTAGGTTGTGTCAGGCTGATAATGAAAACTAACCAGATACCTATGTTCTTCAAATTTACATAGAATTTAAATACAAATTATACCCAGTGCCCAGATCATGTGTTCCAACTCCATTCTATAATCAAAAGAACAGGGACTCCTTGAAGAGCAAGTTTAGGGAAACCCTTAACCTTCATAAACCCTTATTGAATCTGAGAGTCCTCATCTATAAAATAGAACAGCAGAGCCTGTGTCATCTTTGTGCTGGACCTACAGAACACAACCCACCTGTGAAAACCAGCATCTTTAGATACAAGACAAAGACAGAGCCCTCACCTGTCCCTGATCAAGAAGAGTGAACTTTCCTTCTTATTACATTAGTTATTTTTCTTATTGTTATGACCAAATACCTGACACAAAGCAATTTAAGGAAGAATACTTCATTTTGGCTCAATCCATCACTGTAGGGAAGGTGTGGAGGAGGGAGAGCTCGCTCACAGCTCCACAGACCAGGAAGCTGAGAGGGGACAGGAAACAGCTGAGTTGGGCTGCAAATCTCGTCTCACCCCTCCCGCAAAGACCCACGTCCTCCAGCTAATAACCACATCCCAAAGATCCTACAATGTCCTACAACGGCACTGCCAGCTGGGGACCAAGTGTTCAAACACATGAGCCCATGGAAGAATTTTATATACAAATATTTACAGTCTGTCTGGAGGTCTGGCTCCTGCGGAGTCACCCTGAAATAGAGGCCAACAAACAGCCATGATCTTTGTATCTTTGATGAGAAACCAGAGGATCCTGCCATCCTAAAGACTCAGGAGTCTGGGACCTTGGCCACACAGAGACTGTTGGGAGTCAGTCTCAAGTTGGCCATAGTGATGAAGACCATCTTTTAGGAAACAAAAAGGCAGGCCTCCTGACCCCCAGATGCAAGGATCACCTAGACAGCATGTTTACAGATTATGTGACATAATTCAATATCCACAATACCCAGGAACCCCGCAGAACATGAGCTCTGTGGACGCTCGAGTACTTTTGACTAAATAGTGTAGTATTTGCATGGACCCTATGCCCTTCCTCCTGCTCCCCTCCCTTCTCCAGATTACTTATACTACCTAACACAATGCAAATGCTACGGAAGTGGTTGCTGTGCTGTGTTGTTTATGGAATAAGAAGAAAAAGTGTGAACACAGATGTAATTGTTTCCTAATGTTTTGAGCCACAGTTGGTTGAATCCATCCATACAGAACTCATGGATCAAAATAGCCAATACAGTTTATTTACACAGGGAAAACTAAGCAGTGTCATATTAAAACCTCAGCACTTACCAAGACACAGAATAAGAATGGCTTTACAAGCCACAGAAGTCATGGGATGGTTTTGGTTTTGGCGTGTTTTCCTTTACTTGCTACATCATTTTTCACTTTTTTTTTTTTGGTCTTTTTTAAGACAGGGTCTTCCTGTAGCCCCAGCTATCCTAGAACTCACTATGTAGACCAGGCTGGCCTTGAACTCACAGAGATCTGCCTGCCTCTGCCTCCCGAGTGCTGGGATTAAAGGCGTGTGCCACCACACCTGGCCATTTTTCACTTTTTGTCCAAAGTGTTACACACTGTCTCAAAAAATAAAAGGAAGAAGGGAGGGAGGGAGGGAGGGAGGGAGGAAGAATCAAATTCTGTGTCATAGCAAAAGCCCCTACCTCAGGGGCTGGAGACACAGCTCAGCAGTTAAGAACACTGGTTGTTCTTACAGAAGACCTGGGTTTGAATCCCAGCACCCACATGGCAGCTAGCAACTGTCCATAACTCCAGTCCCAGGGGATCTGACAGCCTCTTCTGGCGTCTGTGGGCATTGCACAGCATGGGCACACTTACCTACATGCAGGCAATACATGCATACACATAAAATAAAAATAATAAATAAAATGTGAAAAAAAAAAAAAAGCCCCTACCTCAAACGCAGCACACGATTTGATGGGGTAGAGGAAAATGTTGGTGACAACATGGTTCCCAAGGTCCCCATGCAGGACACCTGCAGCTGTTTCTGGAAGGGTCTGTTGGGTGCCAGTGGCTTCACTCAGAGACTGGTGCATGCCCGTGGTATCTACGGAAGGGCAGGAGTCACTGCAAACCCCAGGGTCTGTACAGGCACCTTCCTGAGGTGAGTAACAGTTGTTCTCTACTGATGAGGCTCCGACCTCCCTGGAGCTGGCCTGAAGGACAGGCTGGTCACCTGGTGAGCAAAGGCGGGTGGCTATGATGAACTTGAGAAAGGCCTCAGCATCATCTAGCGTAGACATGTATCCAAAGGAAATTCTCACAGAACCTGTGGGTCGCCCATCTATGAGGTCAACATCATCTCCACAGATGTGACCAGCCTGGAATTAATGAGAGAAATCAGTCAGGAGAACTCATGCCTCATAGATAAACTGGAAATAGTGTTGTAAAATGAATTTTGTTAATTTTAAAATCAACTCAGTAAATTAGAATTGCAGCATTACTTTGCTGTGTGTCTGAGACTCTGTTCCTACTCTGCAGGCCCAGGGATACACTGTTGGGTCTCACTTTGCTCAGCTGTGAATTGGGGCTCATGCCTGTATCAAGAGCCAGTAAAGGGTTTAACAAAAATGTTCCAAAGAAAGCATTTACTCAAAGGTGTCAAAAGACAGACCAAAGTTTCAGAAGCACGACATCTCCACTTCTCGGTCTACTGAGGGTGAGACAGAATGAACACCTGCTGGCCATTCTCTGCCAGCCTCTCTGAGTATCAAAGGGAGGCTTGTATCCATGAGGCAGCCCTTACCAGGATACAGAAAAAGGCAAAAGTACCTCCCTCCCCAAGCCCAACTGCCTGCTGTTGGTCACTGGGTGGGGTGGCACATTAGACTACCAAGGACACCTCCCTAGTCCAGGCCAGTCACTCCAAGAGATGGGACATAGCCTTCCGTCATGATCAGATACCACGTCTAGAACTACAGCTGTTTGAATTCTAAGCATCTCTCCCTCTTTTCCTCTCTTCCTCCCCTTCTCCATCTCCTTTTCTCATTCTGCTGCTTATTAAAAATAAAACCCAGTTCAGTTCAGATGATTGCTCTATAAGCCTAGAGACCCAAGTTTGATCCCCAGAACCTATGTAAGGGTGGAAGGAGAAAACCAACTCCACAATGTTGTTCTCTGACCTCCACACATGCGATGTGGCACACACGCTCACACACACATCATGCACATACACACATCACACACACACACACACACACACACACACAATCACACCAAACACACACATACATACACCACACACACATGTGCACACACACACACAAACACATACCCCCCTCACTGACTGATGACAACTCAAGGCAGACACTTCCCAAGTTCTTCACTAGCTCATACACACACGCG